TCTCTCTAGATTTAACAAGTCCTGCCATTCCATCCAGCACCAAACCAGATTTACCACCCTGAATAAAGAATCGATACAGACTCAACTTACTTTCGAATTCTAACCCTCACCCCCTAAATCACCAAAAACGCTTGGAAAAAGTATACCCAAATTAAATCAGCTGCTGTTCTTGAACAATTTGGAGTACAAGTTCAGTTAATTCGGGTTCACTATGTAATTTCCTATAATATATTTCAAATGACATGTATTTTGTCTGGTGTGAAACACATCTGGTTGGAAATGTTTTTTTTTTATTTTAAAGACGTATCTGTCTAGTTGCTTTAGTCGCCAGGCCAATATTTTTTTTGCTCAAGGTCCATTTTCATAAGTTTGTTTCTTATTTAGTTCCACTTTTATCACAGCAATATGCTGTAGAAGAGTAGAGTCTTTGGTTTCAACATGCTTCTGCTTTAATGTGTTTAGCTGTTTAGTCAGGTTATTGAATTGCCCAGATTTTTCTTCTTCCTTAATGCCCACGTTATAATTTTCCCACGCAGTGCTGCTATTGCTGCATCTCATAATGTACTTGGAGACATTTCTCTGCTGTTATTAAATTCTACATATTTTATAAATTCTTTGTTAATGAATTTCTCAAATTTATTATTGTTTAACAGAGCTGTGTTAAGTCTCCATATTGCTGTCTTAAGATGAGCATCTAATTATGTCATTTCAAGTATACCCCAGAGCGACACATCCCTAGTTCTAATACTACAGTCCAGGACCCTGTATCTGTCGGCTCTAAATAGGAAAAAATTAATTCTTGAGTCAACGGCATGAGAGTGAGAGAAAAAAGTGAACTCCTTAGCCAATGGATGGTGTTCCCTCCGGACATCAATTAAGCCAATCTTTCATTTTTCATACAGTGATACAGAGTTGATTTTTTTTTAAAGGATTTGAGGAATCCAGGGAAGGATGCAGTTGTGCATTCCAGTCTCCTTTGCATATCAAAACGGCAGAGCTTTATGGCAATATGAGATCAAATATTTGATCATTAAATATTTTATCATGTCCTGGAGGTCTAAATAAATTGAGTAAAGTTACTTCATTAGAGTCTAGTGATCCCCTCACCAAAACAAAATGACCTTCTTTGTCTGTAATCTGTTTGGATTCCTGAAAGTCCACATTATTTGCAGTTAGTATTGCCACGCCCCTAGTGTGTCCATCTGGATGGGAAGAATAAAATGTCTTTTTAACCCCCCCTGCCCCACGCCCCTATTTTTTTCATGGTTCTCTTTTGTTAAATTGGTTACTTGCCAGAAGATTATGAGTTGCTGTTCTCTCTTCATCTTAGCTATGAGCTCTTAGCTCTTTTGATTGGATTTTGTAACCCGTGAACATTAATAGTTTATATTTATATTGCTGTTGAGACATAAATCTTTAAATGAATAGATCCCTCTAACTTGCATATCCAAAGCGACCTTATTATTACAACATAAGTAAAAATCAAAAACAAAGAACTTGTAACTTGAAAACGTACTAAAGGAACTACTTCCAAAACAAAATGACTCATTAGGGAGTCCTGGGTGAAGAGAAAAAACCCAATGAGACTTTTTTCATGGGGGTGTCTCCAGTGCAAACTGACATAGCTCGGTATGAGTATAAGCTCAGTTGACAATCGGAACCTTTAAACCGGCTCCCGAAACATCGGTCAGGTATTATCTATTTTTTACAATCAGTAATGTATTTCTTGTTAACATTAGCTAAGGTTAAATGAGATATTATTATAATAATGTCTGACAGTGTCTCTTTATGAAAATATTTGGTTCTTTGTCCACACACTGGATCAGATCACCGAGATTGCGAATCTTACTGCATTGATTTTAAGAGCTTATCTTGGAGAGGAGGCTGCATCCCCGGCCTCATGATGAAATCCGCTGAGTTTTCTCTGTACCCTCTCCATGTGCGTCCAAGTTCCATTGTTTGGTCTCCACCATCTCCCAGGACAATCTATCCAGTTTCTCTATCGGTGCTGTGGTGGGGGGATCATCGTTGCTGCTGCAATCAGGAGCAAGACCCCTCTTTTTCAGAGCCTTCATGGCATCCGCTGCGCTGTTAAATGTGACCGTTTCACCATCAAAAACAGAGCTTGACTGGCAGCGGGGTTTGGAAGCAGATAACCTTTTCTTTCAGGAGTTTTCTGATAGGGGCAGGGCCGGACTTAGGAGGGTGTGGGACCCTGGGCTTGAGCCAAGGTGTGGGCCCTACTTTACTTAATCATCATTATACAGTTGCATATATATTTCCTTCCCTTTGGGTGGTCGGCACTTGGCCGTGACTTACTTGTGGAACTGATCCTATCCACAAACTTTGGTCATAAAAATCAGCCACTGTCCACCATGAGAGAGGGGTGATGGACAGTCCCTCCCACCAGGTCATCTCTCCATGCAAGGTTTACAACAGTCACTCCATGGTTGCCAACTCTTTTGCTATATTTTGCACACACACGCACAAGAAAACTTCAGTAAGTCAGATTTTTAAAAATCGGTGATCGGCCAGAAAATTGCTACCGGCGCACCTTTAATGAATGTAAAGATCATTACTACAAACAAAATATACTTAGTCGTTATTAAAGAAATTCTTGAATATGCCTATTCAACAGAGCTTTCCTAAGGAAGAAAAAATTGACAATGTTCTCTATCCATCCTCTATGCACGGTATTTATTTATCCTTCTACATTTCTATCTTTATCTGTCTCCCTCCATCTTTCAATTTTTATCAACTGTATCTTTCTCTGTAATTATCAGGTTTATTTCCTTACCAAGTTCAGACAGTCAGGTTATTTCCCCTCTGAGAGCCAAACTTGGTCAACACTTTTATTCAGTGATGACTGGATTTTAGCTGCGTGTCAGGGCAGGGCAGGACACACTCGAGCTAATTTGTACAGTCGGCCCTTCGCCATATGATTTGGACAGTTCCTCCTGCTGCTGCTAGCTGGAAGCTAAAGCTCGTTCGGCTTTTTTTAAACTTCGCACTGAGTGCCAGCGAGCAAAGCAGTCACCATTTCTTTTCTGTGCCGTTAGCTGTTTTCTTTCTCTTTGAATCGTTCTGTTGCTTTTTTCACTCACAGAAACCCATTTGAAAGCTTCACTGACTTTTAGCATCGTTTAAAATACAAAACACAGCTGCAGTGGAAGGAGGATAACTCAGCCTGTGTTTGGGTGTACTCACCACTTGGAGCTGGCTTTCAAGATGCGATCTGGAGAAGAATTGTTTCTGATGTTTGTAAAGATGTTCCGATGCTTTAAAATTAACAACCATATTTTGACAGCTCCCTGCTTCTTGCTCAGCCCAGTAAGCTCACACGAACTCATCAGTTTTTATCCAAAGCCGCAGGATCAGTACCGTACGTATTATCTGTGGTCATCGCTGCACCTGGCGAAGAAGTTCACCCTTCCGCCGTCTCTCCTCGGGCACCGGATCAGTCAGAGATCCAGGTTAACAAGGTTAACGTCTTGAGAAGTGCAGAGGAACGATGGTTCTGCTCCATGTCCAATATGAGTTCTAAAAAACCCTGTTAGCTTGGATATTTTCTTCATCATTCTGTTGTTCACCATCGTGAGAAATCACTCCCTTATGCTCCGCCCCAAAGCGTAAGAAGCGTCCAACTTGAACCAATAATAATTAATCATTCAGGATGGACATTTCCCAGAACAAATGACACATTTTTTCAACAACAACACCAAAAATCCTCTTAGCCAGTGATAAAATTAAAGCATTCTGACCTTATTCATTCACAAAGCATTTTTCAGGGCCCCCGAAGCGCCCGGGGCCCCGGGCTGCAGCCCCGGTAAGCCCATGCTAAAATTCGGGCTTACATAGGGGCTTTCTTCTTCTTTTGGGTCTCTGACAGATACCCCTGGTCAAGCACAGGGATGCTTGGAAGGAGCACGGGGAGACTCACTGGGGGGCTTGGGCGGAGCAGATGGCCCGGGAAACAATGAGACCGGCAGCTCTGGTTTAGATGGAAGCGGCATTCCAGCCATTATGGAAAGAGCTGCCTCTCGTTCAAACATTGCCTCCTCCAACAACTCAAGTCCAACGAAGAGAGGTGCGGAGTCCAGCCTTCTAAGACCATTCTAATGGCAATCCCGAGACATCTGCAGACGGAGTAGGGTTTGGCCATGACACACCATAGACCTTTATAGTGGACTTTAAGTCATTGAAGTCCCTTTCAAAAATCAGGTCTGCTGGATCTATGTTAATTTTGTGCTCTGACCACTTCACCGTAGTACTTTTGGGTCAGGTCCTTCTGTCACAATATGGGTTTTTTGAGGTGAGGATTCATGCGGAGGACCCAGGTTGTGGTGTGAAAAAGGATAATTTATTCAAAGCTCTCACAGATTAACAGAAAGAAATCCAGGCAGCACAAGTGAACTAAGAGGCAAGGAACTCAACAATGGTAGCACTGGAATGAGGCAACGATGACAAAAGACAGCAAAGACAATGACAACGATCACACAGGGAACAAGAGACACAGGTAGGTTTAAATAGAACGGGATATTTGTTCTACAAGGGACAGCTGTGAACTTAAATAACTTCCACACAATGGCATGTTGATTAGCCCTAATGTTAAGAATTAAGTCATAGACTATATGTCATTACTTATTTACAATGGCAGCAACTGCCCAGGGCGGCATCTTGTGGGGGACATCATGAACTCCCATCCCCCCACCTTCCTTCCCTACACCTTTCCAGTTGCCCAATCACCCCTCCCCCTGCTCTTACAACTGGAGGATCTGAATGTCAAAAATATCTGAACATAAAATTATATAATCAAAACAGACACTGGTTGTTAAACCCTATATTTGTTTTTTTTTTTATAAAAAAAACATAAACATAGATTTCTCCAAAGATTCAGAACAATTAATCCTAGTTCTTAAATGATTAGCGAAGTATGGCATATAAAGGTCCATTTTTAAACGTTTTTAAGAAAAGAAATGTAGAGCTTTCAGCAAACTTACGTAGGGAGTGCCATTCATCCTGTCGTATTGTCTTGGTGATGTTGTAGGACAGATTTTTGGGTATTGCAGCTGACGAGTAATGGTACTTGATGTAGGAGCATCTTGCAATTGCACCTGTGTATAAAGTAAACAACAAAATATGGGAAATTATTCAGAATCATATGTACATTAAATCCCTGAAAGACTGCTATTCAACTTCAACAGACAGTAGACATGAAGCACTTTCACAGTTATTTCTGCTGAGCAGAATCCTTTGGAAATGGTCATCTCCCATTTTAATTTAAAACTTCAACATACTCAAGTAATTATATTGAATAAACAGATTATAATTATAACCAGGGCTGTTTTTAGCCATTTACCAAAACAAGATAAAACAAAACCACACAAAAAATAGTATAGTTGTTTTCTTGAGCCATAACCACACTTAAAAACTCACCAAATTTGGCACTAAAAGTCTGTTGAAAAGTTAAGTGTTGCAGGCTTTGCTGGACAAACAAGGCTTTCACAGTGGCTCCATAAAGTTAGGACAATTCCAAGGGCCACTGGACAACCGGGGGCCCCCCCCAAAATAGTTTTTTTTTTTTTAAATAGAAATGAAAAAAAAAATTGGGGCCCTGTCAATTACAAAATTAATCATATTGTGTTTTCTAAAATTGTTTTTAGCAGTAAAAATGTAATGTTACCACTCCCAGACCAAAAAGCACAAGTGTCAATTTGTAATAGTTTTTTCCTACAAGAGAGGAGAGTAGACTGTGTGAGATTATCAACCACAGGGTTTCCCCCAATGTTTTTTTTAAACCGGATTACAAGCGTCTCTGTTGCTCTGAGCATTTCACTAGCGGAGCAGATTTATTCCTAAAGGACAGGTTTATAATTGTCCTGTAAACTGTGGGTGTTTTATTTTGCATGGCGCACTGCTGCCATCTGTTGGACTTTTGGGGAACTGCTTTTACTTTTGTGTTGTTTAGTCAGTTCGGTAGTTAGCTAGTGATAGGACAGATGAACACGTCTGTTATGATCGGCGCATTCCAGGTCGAGTTTGTCGAAGCAAAGCCTGTAAGTTGCTACTTATACATCAAAACGATATGTTGACATATGAGAAAGAAGTAACTTGCTTATTGAATTTATGTTTAATTAGTTTTGGAAATACCTGCGGGCGATTTCAGTATGTTCTACATAATTGCTAACTAGCAGGCTGCTAAGTTTTCTTAGGCCGTTATGTAGCATTGCAGCTCATAGCATTCTGAGCTAGCTATTGTATCAGTTGTTATACTTCTAATGTATGAAACTGAATGTTAACACTTTTGTTTTCTGCTCTGAGCTCATCCTGAGTTGTTTGTGTTTTGGCAGTTTCACTCCATTCTACATGAAAAATAAAGGAAGATCTAATTAATCCTGACTCGTGTAAAAGGAGTTTG